ATCAGAAATGTCTCTGGACCTTTACTGGTTGATGAATTTCTTTATTCGAACCCCGCTGATTTTTAGTTGGTTACCCCTGGTCTACAGAAGACAGGTATGGGGCATTGCAGGCTAACAAAGAAGCCAAGCGACCCCCATTCCAAAGGGGGGGACCCGTTCATCCGTTTCTATTTGCATGTTTTCTAAACTAAAACCAGGCTTTGTTGGGCTGCTGGATAAAACCTGGAACTAAACGCTATTTCTGACATTTTGGATGAAAAATCTTCCTGGATGGAAGAGAAACGTCTTCAGACTCGGAAACAAAGTCCAGAGGATTGATTTTAACTTCTTTGGACTGACTCTGACCTGGATGATGGAATCTTCATCAGCATAAGGTGAAACAGAGCAAAGCAGCTCCTCTAACAGAGTTAATGCTGTGATCCAGCAGAAGATTTAAGCTGAGCTGTAAAAACTCCCATCAGGACAAAATGTCTGTCCTTGATGATGGGATAACTGGGACAGAAGGTAGACCAGTGCACTATAGGAAATGGTTTGGTGGATCCATACAAACCACTCAGAAATCCCCTAAACTATTTTAATGGTAAATCCATTAAAATGTTAACAGTATAAAATCCAACATATTAACATTATATTTCATATTCATCCATTACAGATAGTTTGCATCTCTACTGGATCAGCTTCAAACATGGCTGCTCTTATGGCTTCACTGCATGGAACATATCTAAGGTTATAGGACTGAAATGTACCCAGAAACATTAAGCAGACTTTACTTTACTCCTCTTGGAGTTTTATAACATATGAAACTTGATGGTCATCACTGATAAACTTTAGTGAATTTACTTAAATGAAGAAAGGAACCTGAAAGCTCACCTTTTGGCCTTGCTCTCCCCTATCTCCCTTCTCTCCACGAGGACCTGGTCTCCCCTGTGAGGAAACAGACTTTATTAATCATCAGAAATATGCCTCTTTATTTATGACACGGCTGAAAGTAGCGGAGGTGACATACGGTTGGTCCAGGAGGACCCGGAGCCCCAGGAATGTTGGAGGAGCAGGAACATGTAAACGGCTGTGCAGGACAGCTCTCCTCATCTCTCTGGGACAGAAAGAGTCCAGAAAGGGTTAATGTCACCTGCTGATGCTGAATGTTGCTTTAGGAGGAGAAACATCGTCTCAGGGTCAGTCCGCCTTATTTCACACGGAAAGCTGCCCTTCAATCAAGAAAGGAAAGATGGAGGCAGCACTTACCGCTGCAGGAAGGTCACAGCAGGTGTCCGCGGACGCCCAGCTGGTGTTACAGACGATCTCAAAGGACTGCAGCTGAAACTGGACACAGCGGCAGAAAAACAAGCATTGGATGCACCTGCAGGACCAGCAGGTTGTTCTGGTCCTTCACAGACAGACTGGGAATGGGAGGAGGAGTCGGAGCCGTACCGGGGCGGAGCCGCTGTTAGGTCCTCTGCTTCTCACCAGTTTGCCCAGCATCTCGAATCCATCGGTCGGCAGGTTCCCCAGAGGACGGGCGGGCCTTTCACCCACAGGCTGACAGTCCACCGACAGGGAGACGCTCACCTGGCTGACAGACAGGTGGACCTGCCAGAACCAAGAACAGGAAGTAGCTCCGTTTCCAGGGGGAACCAAACTTTTCACCCATTAAATCACCTTTTAGAGCATCTCCATCTGTGGAAGGATCTGATGAAGGTTTGGCTCTGGAGCATCTCACCTTGTGAAAACTTCCATAGAAGATCTTGTGGACCTGTGGCTGATCAAAGGTGAGCTGCTGAACTTCTCCCCTGTAGTCCAGACTGAAGTACATCAGGTGTTTGGTAGACGCTGTGAACAACATCAGACTGTTTGTCATCATTTCAAAGCTTGCTGTACTGCTCTAACCAGCTCCTGTCAGATGAGCATACCCCGTCAGACCAGCATACCTATAGTCCAAACCCATTAATCCCATTAGTTTTGTACGAGAAATAAACTTTAAACTACCTCAACAGGCGTGTTTCCCTTTAGTCATGTACAGAAAAGAACTATTTATTACTTGCTTTTTGGTGTTTTTTGAAGCATATGGTGATCTGAATTAAATTGTTTTTTCGTACAAACCTGAAGGGATAACCGTAAATCTGACGTGTTGTGAATGTGTATTGACTTTGGGCATGATGGTCTGACAGAACATCTCTGTAGCTTTTGCTACCGGCTCGGTTTGGCGTTTTGGCATCATGCCGGTTGAGGAGGGCGGTGCAGAGTTTGAACAGTTGACACGTCGGCATGCTGTCAAACTCATACCGGCAGTGAATTGTTCAGTGGAGGAAGCAGCCTTAGCTGCAGGAGGAGTGGTGGGTTGTCATAGTGTGGAATCTGCTTCCCGTATGAATGGAGCGATTAGAGCCTCATACTGAATCGTCTGGGAGGCTCAGGCAGCTGACTGCAGCCTCTGACCTTTCAGCATGTGGAGAGCTTTCAACAGGAATCAGAGACGGTATACATGGTGTCATTCTAAAGATTATATTTTATCTTTAGTGAAATTAGATGGTGTATATTCATTTAAGCAT